GGGTGACAGGGCGGGATTTGGGGGCAGCAGAAGGGGATTTTGGGGTGAGGGTGGGATTTTGGGGTGACGGGGGGACTTGGGATGACACAAGGGGTTTTTGGGGTGATGGGGGGATTTGGGGGTGACAGGGTGAGGTTTTGGGGTGACACAAGGGGAATTGGGGTGACACAAGGGGAATTGGGGTGGCAGGATGAGATTTTAGGGTGACAGGGTGGGGTTTTGGGGTGGCACGAAGGGATTTGAGGTGACAGGGCAGGATTTGGGGGTGACAGTGTAGGATTTGGGGTGACACAAGGGGATTTGGGGGGGGGACAGTGGGATTTTGGGGTGACACAAGGGGATTTTGGGGTGACACCAGGAGATTTGGGGTGACAGGGTGGGATTTGGGGTGACACAAGGGGATTTTGGGGTGACAGGGTGGGATTTTGGGGTGATGGGGGGATTTTGGGGTGACAGGGTGGGATCTGGGGGCAGCCCAAGGGGAATTGGGGTGTCACAATGAGATTTAGGGGTGACGGGGGGCATTTAGGGGTGACGGGGGGGGATTTTGGGGTGATGTGGTGGGGATTTTGGGGTGATACAAGGGGATTTGAGGTGACAGGGTGGGATTTGGGGGCAGCAGAAGGGGATTTTGGGGTGACAGTGGGATTTTGGGGTGATGGGGGGGACTTGGGGTGACAGGGTGAGGTTTTGGGGTGACACAAGGGGTTTTTGGGGTGACAGGGCGGGATTTGGGGGTGACAGGGTGGGATTTGGGGTGACACAAGGGGATTTTGGGGTGACATGGTGGGATTTGGGGGCAGTAGAAGGGGATTTGGCGTGACAGGGTGAGGTTTTGGGGTGACACGAGGGGATTTTGGGGTGAGAGGGTGGGATTTGGGGGCAGCAGAAGGGGATTTGGGGTGACACAGAGGAATTGGGGTGGCACAATGAGATTTTAGGGTTACAGGGTGGGATTTGGGGTGACACAAGGGGATTTTGGGGTGACATGGTGGGATTTGGGGGCAGTAGAAGGGGATTTGGCGTGACAGGGTGAGGTTTTGGGGTGACACAAAGGGATTTTGGGGTGACGTGGTGAGATTTTGGGGTGATACAAGGTTTTGGGGTGACAGGGTGGGATTTGGGGGCAGCAGAAGGGGATTTGGGGTGACACAGAGGAATTGGGGTGGCACAATGAGATTTTAGGGTTACAGGGTGGGATTTGGGGTGACACAAGGGGATTTGAGGTGACAGAGCAGGATTTGGGGGTGACAGGGTGAGGTTTTGGGGTGACACAAGGGGATTTGGGGGCAGCAGAAGGAGATTTTGGGGTGACAGGGTGGGATTTTGGGGTGACGTGGTGAGATTTTGGGGTGATACAAGGGGTTTTGGGGTGACAGGGTGGGATTTGGGGGAAGTAGGAGGGGATTTGGGGTGAGAGGGTGGGATTTTGGGGTGACAGGGTGAGGTTTTGGGGTCAGAGGGTGAGATTTGGGGGCAGCAGAAGGGGATTTTGGGGTGACAGTGGGATTTTGGGGTGACGGGGGGGACTTGGGGTGGCACAAGGGGTTTTTGGGGTGACAGGGTGAGGTTTTGGGGCGATGGGAGAATTTTGGGGTGACAGGGTGGGATTTTGGGGTGACACAAGGGGTTTTGAGGTGAGAAGGTGGGATCTTGGGGTGACGTGGTGAAATTTGGGGTGACACAAGGGGATTTTGGGTGACAGGATGGGATTTGGGGGTGACAGGGTGAGGTTTTGGGGTGACAGGGTGGGATTTGGGGGCAGCAGAAGGGGATTTTGAGGTGACAGGGTAGGATTTTGAGGTGACACAAGGGTTTTTGGGGTGACAGGGTAGGATTTTGGGGTGACACAAGGGGATTTTGGGGTGACAGGGTGGGATTTGGGGGTGACAGGGTGAGGTTTTGGGGTGACAAGATGGGATCTTGGGGTGACGTGGTGGAATTTGGGGTGACATGAGGGGATTTTGGGGTGAGAGGGTGGGATTTGGGGGGCAGCAGAAGGGGATTTTGGGGTGAGAGTGGGATTTTGGGGTGACCGGGGGACTTGGGGTTTTTGGGGTGACAGGGTGGGGTTTTTGGGGTGTCACCCGGGTCCCTGGGGACACGAGGGCTCTGTCCCCCCCCGGGGGGGGGGCAGGAACTGGCGCAACAGGAAGGGAGTTGAGAGGAA